TATGCTACCTAATTAAAGCTTAAATAATAATCAAGAATCTAGTGGTGAGTTTTCTTGCCATACCTGCTCAAGAATTGTAGATCTTCTGTTTCAAATGGGGATAGGAAGCAGTATAGAGTTGCCCCATATGTGGTAGCATGAAAAAATTTCATTTCTATATCTACAGGGAAGTATACTGAGAAAAACTGGTTACAGTGGTTGTCATAAAAGACAATCAATGAATAACTTCATAGCTCTGATTATCCTTTTCTTGATCAACTCACACACACCCTTTGTTCTGACTCTTCACTGTCAGATTTCCTCAAAGGGCAGATTTGGTTCAAACACAATGTTGTCTATTACAGGGAGCACACATCTGATAATTCTTATAAGTAACATCATTTGTCCACTGAACAAATTAAGAATGTTAAGAAACCCAATGCAGTAGAAACACAGTGGGTATTTTTTCCAGACAGTTGGCATTCATAGTTTAGAAATTTCCATGGTTTTTAAAAAAAACAGTTATACTTTTTAAGAACTGAATTGTGAAACATACCAAGTCTCTGTAAAGAGCATTGCACACAGCATTTTTATTTAATTGAAAATAAGCTAACTCTTGATTGCTTAGTGAAATTGTCACTTTCAGTGTTTTTCTCCCACTGAAGAATATTCCTCCTAGTACTAAAATTGCAAAAGATACAAATTAATGAAAGAAAAAAAAGTCTTACACAGTTATTCTGTCTTAGAGAATCTCACTGAGTACCTCAAAGGTTTAATATTCCATTGCAGATAGTCAAAATCAAGTTCATTTTCAGGTGAACTTCAAAAGAAAATCTTCTTCTGCCTTCATAAGTCATTTAAAATATTGCAGCATTTCTCAAATGTCTAGTTATACAGTCAGTACCTAAAAAAATTCTCTCTTAAGAGTTAGTGAGAGATTAAAGAAACCTCTGAACTCACTTATGTTTGCAAATGCAATCATAACTGGTCAGTTTAATAAGCAAAGAGAAATGGCCTGGGGCTGAATATTCACTATCAAACAACAAACCTTCAAAGATTGTCACTGCTACCCTGACACAATAAACACCACACACTGTACATCGTGGGTGCCTAAATTAATTTGGAAATCATAAAGTGTCCATGCAAAGTTAAAAAATGGATGCAGGTAACAAGAAAAATAAATTCCACTAATATTCCAATTGTGTTGGAAAGAAGATCTCCACAGCTGCTGTTTTTCAAACTTTCACCAATAAGAAAGCGAGGTTCATGGGATTCTGAAAGGTCTTGCTGTCCCTAAACCTCCCTGCAGAGTAAAACTGGCACCAAATAGAAGCAGGTAAGCACCAGGCAACACATACAAAAAATCAGTGACTCCTGAAAATTTAAAGCAAACTTAAATACCTACTCACCCACAATAAGCCAGTCATAGATCTTTGTTTTGTGTCTTCAGTAAACTCTCATCTCATCAGAGATGCCTGAAAAATTCTGGAAGGAGAAATGAAGGGATGTGTGTACATCCCTCATTATCTTTGGTTTCAGGCAATCTGTAATCTTTGTAAATTGCTAACAACTAAAATGGTGTTTACAAATATCAGCAGAAATAACCTAAACTAAACCAAAGCCAAGGTTTGCACTTCTGTTGCTCACCACTATTTGGACTGGGAATTATTAAACTTCATAGATTAAATAATCACTGACAATCAGAAACCAGATTCACCTTCCACATGTGAAAGGCTTGCCAACAAATGAATTTCTCCCCTTATTGATAAAAACAGATACGGTTATATGGCAGCAACTTATCTCTATCATCTTGGCATTGCATATGTAAACCCCAAGTAATATGATTTATAAGACACCTGTCAGGGAAAACTTAAGGAAGATTAGAAGATGATAAAAAAGATAACTTTAAATTTTAGCATAAAATTCAAGATCAAAATTGAATTAGTTTATGATAGGTTTCACAAGAACATTCTAGATTATATAAATTTTCAAAACATGAAGATATATCACTAAGTAGTCACCTATAATTTTCAAAATACTATTTTAAAGTATATGCTCTATTATCAAAAGGAATTTGGAACCTTCTATTATTTAAAACTGAATCCAAAATACTATTCCTAGGGCAGACCATCCCTTCCATGAGGAAGCAGTAAAATGGAGGGAAAGCTGGACTCTCTTGATAAACACACATGGGTTCTAATCCAGGTGTGGCCAGAGGTATAACTTGCATGACTCAGGGCAGGAGATTCAACCTCTCAGGTTTTCTGTTTTTTTTTTTTTTTTTTTTTGACAACTGTTTACTGAATGATTCATCAGCACCAGATTCTTCATTGATGAACATACTTAGATAAACAGGACAGGTGAGGCCACTGATTTCAGTAAGTTTATATTCTAGTAGAAAATACAGATATTTGAACAAGAAACGGCTATCTGGAAGAAATGCTGAAACAGGAAGGATTAACATGTGAGAGCACAGAGCAGGGTAAATAAGTCAAAGGAACTTGGCTCCTAGTCTAACAGTTAGGAATCACTGTCCAAGGAACTGCTGCAGAAGCTAAAAATCTAAAAGATACATGGGAGGAAGCTGAGGAAATTATAGGAAGAAACATTCTAGGCAAAGGAAAACAAGAGAGGGAAGATGGTGGAGAATGATGGTGTTTTCAAGGAACAGATAAGGTCTGGTATAGCTGGACTGGAGAGAGAAGAGAGACAGGGCAGGAGTGAAGCTGAAGCCCAGACAAGGGCAAGATCTAGGAGAGACCCAAGAAGAGTGAAAAAGAAAGTAAACTTTCTTCTAAAGACAAGAGACAGCCATCCAAGTGTTTAAGGAACAGAAACACAACTATAATTGCATTTTTTTTCATTTATTTTTATTAGTTGGAAGCTAATTACTTTACAATATTGTAGTGGTTTTTGCCATACATTGACATGAATTAGCCATGGATTTACGTGTATTCCCATTGCAATCCCCCTCCCACCTCCCTCTCCACCCGATTCCTCTGGGTCTTCCCAGTGCACCAGCCCTGAGCACTTGTCTCATGCATCCAACCTGGGCTGGTGATCTGTTTCACCATTGATAATATACTTGTTTCAGTGCTATTTTCTCAGAACATCCCACCCTCGCCTTCTCCCACAGAGTCACAAAGTCTGTTCTGTACATCTGTGTCTCTTTTTCTGTTTTGCATATTGGGTTATCATTACCATCTTTTAAAATTCCATATATATGCGTTAGTATACTGTATTGGTCTTTATCTTTCTGGCTTACTTCACTCTGTATAATGGGCTCCAGTTTCATCCATCTCATTAGAACTGAATCAAATGAATTCTTTTTAATGGCTGAGTAATATTCCATTGTGTATATGTACCATAGCTTCCTTATCCATTCATCTGCTGATGGGCATCTAGGTTGCTTCCATGTCCTGGCAATTATAAACAGTGCTGCAATGAATATTGGGGTGCACGTGTCTCTTTCAGATCTAGTTTCCTTGGTGTGTATGCCCAGAAGTGGTATTGCTGGGTCATATAATTGCATTTTTAAAGCAAAATCTGGCTGAAGAACAGAGTCAGTATTAGACAGAACAAAAGGGGATTCCAGGGATATTAGGGGACCGGGGCTCTTCCAGGAGATGGACAGAGCAGTTTGTGATAGAAGGTCTGGAAAGAAAAGGACAGCTCACTAAAAGATTTAGGGGAAATAATGGTTAAATTTTACATCAAAATCTAATATGTGGTAAGTATATGGAAAGCAAGAGGGAAAGTTCTCTACCTCCAAAATAATGATATTTGTCCCTGCCATGTATAGTTGTGACATACATTTATAAAAATATAAATGTGACAGTGCATATAACATTAGGTGTCTTATACTGCCTAGTGCACAATACAGTAGAAAGTTAAAAAAAAAAAAGATATTTTTAGAATGAAAAGAAGTTTCTTGCTTCTCACAAGCAAGAGAGTTGAAATTTTTTTCTGGGTTAAATCCATTACCTTTGAGCTCGTTCACTGTGTGCAAACACTGTGGCCCATCAATGCAACTGGAAAAGAATGTGGCAAGATATTGTCTTGATGTGGAAAGAGCCTGTATGGACTCCTCCAGATTATGACTGCTCCAGCTTTACAACTTGGCAGCCAATAAAAAATTTATGTAAGAATGTATCTGAATGACTTTGGTGGGATTTAGCACTTAAATTTATGAAGATGATAAAGACTATGAGTTTGTATTCTTTTTTAGGCAGTCTGTTTTTATTCTTAAGGGTTGCACCTTCCTGATAAAACCCACTGGAACTGAGTAAAGTTTTGAGACACTGCACAGTTTGCATCTCCAGTGGCTAAAACAAAGTTTTTGTGAGGCTGCTGCAGAATTGCAGCAGACCTACACACAAGGTATACATAGATGGAGTTGGCCACCCACTGACCTCGCTGAAGGTCAGGGCACAGGAAATCCATCCCAGGGCAGAGGAAGCCTGTCCTAGTTCTTTAACCATAGACATAGACCACCACTACCACTGAGGAAGAGTGTGCTCTTTCTGTAATAAACATTAACACACATACATTTAGATGTTAAATTTTAAAACTACAAGTCAAAATTTAGATAGTAAGAGAATAGGATAGGTAGGGTAGCCTATATATCAGCTTCCCAGGTGGTACTGGTGGTAAAGAACCCACCTGAAAATGCAGGAGAGTAAGAGACACCAGTTTGATCCCTGAGTAGGGAAGACCCCCTGGAGGAGGGCATCGCAACCCACTCCAGTGTTCTTGCCTGGCAAATTCTCCTGGACAGAGGAGCCTGGTTGCTATAGTCCATAGGGTCTCAGAGTTGAATATGCCTGAAACGATTTAGTATACCTGTATAAGGTGTATAGAGATACTGACATTTTTTATTGCTCAGTGCACTGGTCACTTGAAGGCCACCATCACTGTGATCTTTCCCTATTCCTCTTATGCAGGTACCAGCATTGGTAAGAGAGAAGAAACAGTGACAGCTCCACCCCCAGGATGTGACTAATCAGTAGCACACTATTTCTATGGTTGCCAGGTTTTCCTCCTTAGGCATTCCCCACCACAGATTTCCTCCATTCTCTCCTGTTGGGCCGCCTCCCCATCAGCAGCAGTCCTCATCCTGGGATTTCTCTCCAATCCCCATGGCTCCAGCATCCAGCCACCGTGGACACCAGTGGATCAGTGACCTTGTTCAAGGTATATAAGGCCATGGCATGGATTATCTGTGTGGTTCCACTCCATCTGGGCTGTCACAGATCAGCTACTTCACTCCAAAAGCCTCAAATGCCTCCCTTCTGCCCAACCAATTGCCCTGAATGCCAGGATCTCTCCCCTGCTTCAGCTCCCTGACCCCCTGGTGCACACTGATTCTGCTTGCTTTCCCTCCTCCTTCTTCCCTTAATCCTAGTGAGTTTTGCATGAATCTATGATTTCCTTTCCAGTGGTCAGGAACTCCTGATACATCTCTAGAGGTACTTAAATGTGCATTAATTCTTTTTTTAACACCATCCTTATAGAGAAGGCGGACAAGAAGAAGCAAATGTAGAAAAATACAGGAAACCTATTGAAAATGTGATCATTTCTCATTTCCCCAGTACCTCTCTACTCCCCCATCCTGCAACACAAATTAGTGCAGCTCACGTTTTCCTAGACTTTTCTCTAGGTGCAGAGAGTAGGGGACAGTCTCTAGGTGCAGCATACGGGGCTTCTCATTGTAGTGGCTTTTCTTGTTACAGAGAATGGGCTCCAGGTACACAGACTTCAGTAGTTGTGATATGTGGTCTCAGCACTTGTGGTTCCTAGGCTCTAAAGCACAGACTCAATAGTTGTGGTGCATGGGATTAGTCAGTCTGTGACATGGGAGAGCCTCCCAGATCAGGAATTGAACTCATGCCTCCTACATTGGTAGGCTGATTCTTTACCACTGAGCTTCCAGGAAAACCCTGTACATGAATTCTAGATGCATCCATGGAGAGATATGTACTCCGTGTCCACCTACTCCTCCACCATCTTGTTGATCCTAATGTATGTATGTCTTAGAAAAGATTTTCCTTTTCTACTGAGTTCAGTAACAAAGTCATCACCTCACAGGTTTACTCTTTATTTTCTCATAAAGAACATACATAATTCCCAGTCTCTTAGGCAATTTCAATTATACAGCACAATCTTATCCCTTATAGTCACCATGCTCTACATTAGATCCTCAGACCTTATTAAATGAGAATGTGTAACCTTTTACAAATCTCTCCTTATTTTCTGCACCCTCCAACTCTTGGCAATCACTTTCCTGTTCTGTTTCTGAGTTCCAATTTTTTTTAGATTCCAGATAATTGAGATCATATGGTATTTCTCTTTCTCTGTCCTATTTCACTTAGCATCAGGCTCTCCAGTTTTATCCATTTGCCACAAATGATATAATTTCTCCCTTTTTAAAATGGCTAAATAATATTCACACACATACACACACACATATATATCATATCACATTATTTTAACCTGTTCATCTGTTGAAAATATTGAGATTGTTCATTTATCTTGGCTACTGTGAATAATGCTTCAATGAACACAGGAGTACAAATATCTCTTTAAGATAATGATTTCATTTCCTTTGAATATATATCCAAAAGTAGGATTGTGGTTTCATTTTAGTCATTAAGTTGTGTCCAACTCCTGCAACATCAGGGACTGTAGCCTGCCAGGTTCCTCTGTCCATGGGGTTCTCCAGGCAAGAATACTGGAATGGGTTGCCCTTTCTTTCTCCAGAGAATCTTACCAACTCAGGAATCGAACCTGGGTCTTTGAGGTAAGCTTTGAGCTTTGAGGTAAGCCAGAAGTAGAATTAATGGATCATATAACATTACTCTTTTAAATTTCTTGAGGAATCTGCACAGTTGTTTTCCATGGGAGTTGCACCAATTCACACTCCCAACAAGAGTGCACAAGACCTACTGTTTCTCCATACCCTCATCAACACATGTTATTAATATTTCTTATCTTTTTGCTAATGGCCATTCTAACAGGTATGGGGTGATGTCGCTTGTGCTTTTGGTTTGCATTTTCCTGGTAATTATTGATGTTGAGTATCTTGTCATATACCTCTTGGCCATCTGCATGTCTTATTTTGGGGGAAAATGTCTATTCCATAAAACTGTAGTATATATTTTGTATACTGTATTCTGATATACAAAACTCAGTTGCCTATCCATACACCAATAGTGAGCTATCTGAAAGGGAAATAAAGAAAACTATAAATATATAAAGTAATCAAAATAGAATGGCATTTGCATAAAAACATATACACGGCTCAACAGGCCAGAACAGAGAATCCAGAAAGAAGCACACACCCATGTATTGTCAATTAATGTATGACAAAGGAACCAAGAATATCCAATGGGAAAGGATGGTCTCCTCAATAAATGGTAGTGGAGAACAGGATAGTTGTATGCAAAAAAATTAAACTGTACCAAAAATGGGTTAAAAAGTTTAACATAAGACCTTAAACCATAAAACTTCTAGAAGAAAACATTGAGAGGATCTCTTGACATAGGTCTCTGCAATATTTCTTTTTTTGTTTGACACAAAAAGCAAGGGCAGCAGCTGCAAATATAAACAAGTGGGACCACATCAAACTCAGAAGCTTCTGCACAGCAAAGGAACCCATCAACAAATCAAATGGCAACCTGTGGAATGAAAGGCAATATTTGCGAATCACATATTTGATAAGCTCTTAATATCCAAAACTATGTGAGATTCACACAACCAAAGGACAAAAAATGCAAATAACCCAAATTTTTAAAAAATCAAAGGGAAAATAACGGTTTTGTTAAATATGGAGATGAGAGACACAGCAATCTTTTCCTACCAGAACAACAAAAGCCTATGTCTTCCTTGCATTGCTTCCTTTCATGTCCACTCATCATTTTGGCGATTATAGTTCTCAGTGCACATCCTTCATCAAAAGCAATCACCCCACAGGGAGCTCTAATATGTGCTAGGAATAGCCCTACTGTACAAAAACTAACATTTACACAGTTACTAACGAGACATATAAAGAGCAAGGTAATTGTCAGTGTTTGCCACTCCATTGTTCTGCATATTCTATCTCAAAATTGAACCACTTAGTAATGAAACATGAGTTAGGGGATCTCAATAATATTTGGATAGAAAATCTTTTAAAAATGGGAGCATTTATGGATTATAATTTGGGGGGATTTATTATTACTATTTTGATTGTATTAATTATCTGTTACATCAGGTTCAGAATTTATTATAAATATTAATACCAATGTAAAGACACATAGTACTGAAGTTACAGCAGCTGGAAAAAGACAAAGACAAAATATGAGGCAGGAAGTGAAATTATAGAAAGTCCACAATGGTATCAAAATAAGGGGTAGTATTGCATAGAGAGAAAGCCAACTTCTCAAAGTTGCCTGAGGCACCAAGAACAGTCAGATGTGAGAATCCAGATTAATTTGAATACCAGAAAGTGGACCAAAAGGAAAATGAAGTTCAGAAAACTATGGTGATACTAAAAGCCAAAATTTAGACAGCAAGAGGATAGGGTAGGACAGCTGTAGATACTGAAATTCTGGAATGTGTGAAAGCAAATACATTAACAAGCATCAGGAAAAACAAAAAACAAAAGGGTCTGAAAAATAAACCATCAAGAGCCTAGGTAGTCTGATCAAAAGAACAAGAGAATCAATAGGTAAACCAAAGTACAAACACTTGTGTAAACAGGAGAACCAGATGATGCTCAGGGAGAAAGCGTGGGACTTAGTGGACCAGAGAACAGAAGATTCCAGCATCAAGAACACAAACTCTGGACAAGGCTCATATATATGCATTTCTGGGAAGAGCCCCAATTTCAATGCTTGGGCACAATAGCACCTAAAATTGTTATAGACAGAGAGTATAGCTTGCTGGGAAACAGTGGAAACAGTGGCTGACTTTTATTTTGGGGGGTTCCAAAATCACTGCAGATGGTGATTGCAGCCATGAAATTAAAATATGCTTACTCCTTGGAAAGAAAGTTATGACCAACCTAGAATGACCAGCATGTGACCAACCAATATTGGTTATGATAAACCAATATGACCAGCATATTAAAAAGCAGACATTACTTTGTCAACAAAGGTCCATCTAGTCAAGCCTATGGTTTTTCCAGTAGTCATGTATGGATGTGAGAGTTGGACTATAAAGAAAGCTGAGCACCAAAGAATTGATGCTTTTGAACTGTGGTGTCGGAGAAGACTCTTGAGAGTCCCTTGGACTGCAAGGAGATCCAGCCAGTCCATCCTAAAGGAGATCAGTCCTGGGTATTCATTGGAAGGACTGATGTTGAAGCTGAAACTCCAATACCTTGGCCACCTGATGCAAAGTGGTGACTCAGTTGAAAAGACCCTGATGCTGGGAGAGATTGAGAGCAGGAGGAGAAGGGGACGACAGAGCATGAAATGGTTGGATGGCATCACCGACTCAATAGACATGAGTTTGGGTGAACCCCTGGGAGTTGGTGATGGACAGGGTGGCCTGGCGTGCTGCAGTTAATGGGGTCGCAAAGAGTCAGACACAACTGAGTGACTGAATTGAACTGAACTGAACACTGAGAAAAGGACAAAAGTGTTTATCAGTTTATTTTGCTCATTCAACTACAAGTTTAATGCATAGTTATCCATTGATAATTGATTCCTTTAGTTTGCAGTGTGGATAATACAGTGAGCTCCTCTTCAGTCATATACTGGATATTTAGATATGTTATATGATCACCAAATTATATTTTAACAGAAAAAAAAGTCATATAGTTAGCTGTCTTCCAATAAATGATCAATTACATTCAGATTTATGATATTCTTCTGTCAGTTATGATATTCTTCAGTTCAGTTCAGTTCAGTTCAGTCACTCAGTTGTGTCCGACTCTCTGCAACTGCATAAGCTGCAGCATGCCAGGCTTCCCTGTCCATCACCAACTCCTGAAGCTTGCTCAAACTCATGTCCATTGATTCGGTGAGGCTATCCAACCATCTCATCCTCTGTTGTCCCCTTCTCCACCTGCCTTCAATCTTGCCCAGCATCAGGGTCTTTTTCAATGAGTCAGTTCTTTGCATCAGGTGGCCAAAGTATTGGAGCTTCAGCAACAGTCCTTCCAATGAATATTCAGGACTGATTTCTTTTATGATTGACTGGTTTGATCTCCTTGCAGTCCAAGGAACTCTCAAAAGCCTTCTCCAACACCACAGTTCAAAAACATCAATTCTTCGGTGCTCAGTTTTCTTTATTGTCCAGTTCTCACATCCATACATGACTATTGTAACAACCATAGCTATACTTATTGCCTCCTATATAGTCTAATTTTGAAAAAGCACAAAGTTCCATGGAGAAATTAAGTGTATATTTATCTTTATGCATAACACAAGCATATATACACAGAAAATACAAATATACCTGTGTTATATGAACTCTTATTCTCCTTGCTTGTCCCAATAAGCTTAGATGTTCAGAGATATAGTCCCACAATTCTCCAACTTAATTCTGCTTTTTGAGAAACACTTCTTTTACTTTCATCACCTAATTTTAAATAACCATTTTACTCTTAGATACCATGGCACGATACAACTCAGAGAAGAGAAAACCTTAAAAATTCTGATGTTCTTCTTCTTTAGTCCCTAAGTGATGTCCAACTCTTTGCATCCCCATGGACTGCAGTATGCCAGGCTTCCCTATCCTTCACTATCTCCCGGAGTTTGCTCAAACTCTTGTCCATTATGTTGGTAATGCCATCCAACCTTCTCATCCTCTGTTGCCCCATTCTCTTTCTGCCCTCAATCTTTCCTAGCATCAGGGTCTTTTCCAATGAGTTGGCTCATTGGATCAAATTCTGCTCAGGGCAACAGGGAGAGATGAGGCTTCCCTGGAAAGGATGGCTTTTGCTAACCTCAGGCTAATACATCATCTCAGAATGGCTCATGTTTTTATTTATGCAGGGTCCCGCCTGCTCCTGCTGCTGGTGGTGTCAAATCCACTCTTGTGCCAGGGTGAGGACTATGCACCGTACTGTAAAAACCAAACTGGCGAGTGCCGGATTCCCCTTGAAAACCTGTTTGACACTGCAACCATGGTGGCTAACTACAACCAAAGACTCGCCAGGGAAATGTTCAATGAATTTGTAAGTACTGTATTTCTTGCTTATTTCCATAAGAAACCTTGGTGAAAGTGAGTGGGCTATTTTATCCTTTAAACAAGAAGGCTGCATCAGCCAAACTTCAAATAACACACTTCCTAAGTCAAACATGTCATCAGCTCATAAGATGTGTAAATCGAAGAAAGGATTAATTTCATGAAATGTCAAAGATTCTTAAAGAGTGAAATAACTGATTCAATTTCCTTTCATTAATTTTAATTTTTAAATTTCCAAAATAAGTTTAAAGCACCTGTATTTGTCACCTTGAGGGTGTGTGTTAGTCGTTCAGTCGTGTCCTACTCTTTGTGACCCCATGGACCATGGCACTCCAGGCAAGAATACTGGAGTGGCTTACCATGCTCTTCTCCAGGGGATCTTCCCATCCCAGGGACTGAACCCATGTCTCCTGCGTTGCAGGCAGACTCTTTACCATCTGCGCCACCAGGGAAGCTTGGAGTCCCGTTAAATAATACCATAGACTCAGTGGATTAAACAATAGAAACCTGTTTCCTCACAGTTCTGGGGACTAGAGGTCCCAGATCAGGGCGCCAGCAAGGTCAGGTTCTGGTAAGAACTCTCTCTTCCCAGGATGGCTTCTCCCTGTGTCCTCACAGGTTGAGGGGGTGGGAAAGAGAGACAGAGACAGAGACACGGAGACAAAAGAGAAATCTCTCTGGTGTTTCTCCTCATGAAGACACTAATCCTACTCGATCAGTGTCCCACCCTATGAGCTCATTTAGCCTTAATTAATCTTCATAAAGGCCCTTTTCCAACCACAGTACATACTGAATCCATGTCAGGAAGACAAAATGATGATAGCTTTTTTAATGCTACTAAACATTGTTTTGTCTTCCCTGATAGCTCAGTTGGTAAAGAATCCACCTGCAATGCGGGAGACCCTGGTTCAATTCCTGGGTAGGGAATATCCCCTGGAGAACTGATAGGCTGCCCACTCCAGTGTTCTTGGGCTTTCCTTGTGGCTCAACTGGTAAAGAATTTGCTGCAATGCTGGAGACCTGTATTTGATCCCTGGGTTGGGAAGATCCCCCTGGAGAATGGAAAGGCTACCCACTCCAGTATTCTGGCCTGAAGTATTCCCTGGACAACTCCATGGTGTCGCAACGTGTTGGACACAGCTGAGTGACTTTCACTTCAAACATTGCTCTAAGATTGGCAATGAATAGGTTTAGAAGTACAGTAGAAGGATTGGTTTAGAATTGGAACCAATTATTCTTTCTGATGAAAGTATTTTGGAAGTTGTCTTTCAGATTACTCAAGTAGCCCTATGTAGAGCAGACACTGATAAAAAATCGTGCTCATGTTTCTATTAAATTCATGTAGTTCTTTTTACTCAGTAGTTTTTCTGTCATCCTCCATTTTTGACTGCTATTTTTTTTTTCAAATCTTCCAAGTAATCTCTTTAAATGTTCACAACTTCCTCTAGATTACTTTTTCTCTATCCATGTGTTAGCTGATTTTTGCTGTTCTTATTCTAAGTCCATTGCTTAGTATTTCCTATACTTTTATGCAATGCTTTTCTAACTTACCATTTTGTCATCATCAACAACATTGTATTCTGCATCTATGGTGAACACTAAACTATAGGTGTGTGGATTCAGAGCTTAATCAGAGGAAAGTTATAATTTTATAACTCCTATTAAGGGAGTATATTGTTTCTAACCCACAGTAAACAAGATATTATATGGCTACATATTGGTACATATGTATTATATTTCGTTCAAATACTAAAAAAAAAGATACTTAATAAAACATTAAATATTTTATATTTGTGGTAATTTTAGCGTTTGCTGTCCTAATATTAACTGGAAAGGATGAAATTAAACCTGGGAAGAGCAAAGAAGGGAAGAGTTTCAAGTTTAGAAAAATTAGGTGAAAAACAAAAACAATTGTTTATAGTGATAATGGGAAGAAATAGGAAAAAGAATGAGGTTCAATTATGTAACCCTCATTAAAAAAATTATACATCTATCAGCTGTGTTAATATTCTGGTAATGAATTCATTTATTGAATGCCAAAATAACCATAAGGAATTGAATGTGCTTGATCACTCCCAGGGTAAACAGTATGGCCAGAGAAAAAACTTAACTCCCATGATCCTCAGCAGCTGCCACACTACATCCATCACCATCCCTGAAAGCAAAGAAGAAGCTGAAAATACAGAGGTGAGGCTTTTATCTGGGTTTTTCACCCAAGCAACTGAGACAGTGCACTCGTGTTACTAGGCTTTAGATTATTAGAGTAATGGTAACTGCACATGCAGAGAAATGTGGAGGAATACTAAGCAATCAAAGAGAAATTACATTATGCAGTTGATAACATATGAATAGAATCAAGTGATGACTAAAGATCTGTCAGTTCAGTTCAATTCAGTCGCTCAGTCGTGTCTGACTCTTTGCGACCCCATGAATCGCAGCTCCCCAGGCCTCCCTGTCCATCACCAATACCCCCCAACACCCGGAGTTTACTCAAACTCATGCCCATCGAGTCGGTGATGCCATCCAGCCATCTCATCCTCTGTCGTCCCCTTCTCCTCCTGCCCCAAAGATCTGTAGTAGCAAGTAAATAACAGATCTATAAATTCCCATGCAGATAACCTTAGTTTAACCAACGCATTAGGCCCAGGATTGCAGCTATTATACTGTATGAAAGCATGGGCTGAACAAAAATTCTATGTGTAAAATATAAGGTTGGCAGAATTCATGGATATATAAGAACCACAGTTTTGAGTATACCCTGTGACCAGTGACACCTACGTGGGAGTCACTCCTATGCTGCACCATTGGAGACATTGCTTCTGACTTTCAAGAGTCTCCTGATTCTTCTGCTTCTCTGAAACCTACTTCATTTATCATTCTCAATGATTCCTCTGTCACTTTTATTCTTAATTATGAGTCTCCTCCCCAAATGTCCTATAAAATATTATGTTTTGCTTCTTATGGTTGCAACAATTGTCTCTGTTCTGATGTAAACACAGTTTACAAACTGAACCTCAATCATTAATCCCAACTCCAACTTTTTTTCATTTTAATTGCTCGTTTCTGATTCCCACATTAACCACAATCCTAACATTATTTAAAATATTTTCACATACATCTTCTCTTAAATACAATCTGTTATCTTACTAAAACTTTATTAATAATATCAACATTCTTTCTATCTGCTCAGCATCTTAATAATGGAGATGATAAAATGAAGGAAGAAGGTCAAGGAGAAGGAGGATGTTTTTAATGAATTTAAAATAAACTTAAAATTTATTGAGAGCTATTACACTGCCATACAATTTACAAAGTGCTCTGTGTTCATTACTATGCTTAATCCTTACAAAAAATCCTGTAGCACAGTGACTGTTATTACACTTCCTGAGATCAAGAAACCAAGGCTCAGAAAAATTAAGAGATTTGCACCCATCACACAGGTAATAAGCAGTGAGTCTAGGTTTCATACAACTCAGAGCTCTTACTCTTCATATTTAAGCTACAAAGCCCCATTGAAAACTATGCTGCTTTCACCCTAGACTCTGTATTTCATTACAGCTCCTTAGTCTCCCATTATATTTCTATTGCAGTGTCTATTCGCTTCTCTGCTCTTCATTTCCTATACCACTAAATTATTTCACGCCCATAAGGCAATCAAGCCATTAATTAGAGATACTCAGCCACTGAGTTTCATGCCCAATCCTTGTAGTAGTGAACTGAGTCGGGGCGGGGGGTGGGGGGGGGGACCCTCCATTGTGAATCCCACTGATGCTGTTACTAAAAACAATACTGTGCCTTTTTCTGCCCCTACTCATGTCAATAGAAAGACTGCTCTGATAGCAAATGGGACTTCTGTTGGTATGGATTGAAGAAAATGTGTTTAAGAATTTCATGTCTTCTTCATTATCTCTTTGTTCAAATATCATAAAACTACCAATCAGAAAATGAATTAATGAAGGATTTGATTCATTAATACAAATGAATCATTGGGTGAAAAATGATGTGGGCATGGGTAGGATCCACGTTTCCTGGGCCAGGTACTCTAGGCACATATTGAGCTCCAAAAAAATATTTAGATTTCTCTCCCTGAATAAGCAAAGCATTCAAATATAAAAGAACTCACTGAGCAGATGGTTGAATTTCAGAGGGAAAAAGAAAATATTTCATGTTCTAAATTAGAATTCATCAAAAGGATTATTTAAATGAGTTTTTTTAAAAGAATTTCAGCAAAGTATAAACTAATGGTACACATTTTATAATTTTATATCCTTAACATCTTTAAAAACTTTGCATACACAGAGGAATAATAAAGGGTTTTTTTATATGCTCAGCCTCCCTGAGCAAAAATCACATGTTACCAAGCCTACTGAATTTTGTTTATTTTAATGAGATTGTTTCCTGTGGCTGCTTAGGACAAAATCCTTTTTAAGTTGGTACTCAGTTTGCTCCACTCGTGGGATGAACCTCTGCATCACCTAGTCACAGAGCTGCTGCGCTTGAAAGAAGCCTCACCTGATCTCTTGTCAAGGGCTGCAGAGATTGAGGAAAAGACCAAAGTACTTCTAGAAGGTGTGGAAGAGATACAAAAAAGGGTGAGCCATCTCCTGAAGCCTTCTTTGCTTTTCTCATGAATGAAAGATGACCTCTGTATTGAGGAAGGAGTTTTGAAACATCTCACTTTATAAGGACAAGATTCAGGCCTTCTATATTCTAATTGCTGTTATATAAAGTGAGAGCCTAATCATTCATAATGCTAGATTCTATTGTAAGTGAATTAGAATTCAACTACAATTTTTGACAGGTGCAGCACTCCCTGCATTGCACACAATTCCACCAAAAGCTAGCCTCTTACTGGGCACATGTGGTTGAAATACTTTCATGGGTAAGAGAACTGAAGCACAGAATGTGTAAGATCAATGTTTTCTTCAAAGCAACGCAGGTGATCTGCTACTGAACGTCTGTTCATGTTCTTTCTTTGTCCTCTTCAAATCAAAGGATGAGGATGGGAAGAAAGGAAAGAGAAAGTCAAAACCAAACTCATACTTGAGTTCTGCTTCTTGATTTTAGATTGCTAATAGATTTTCCATACACTGGCTCCAAATCCATGTCTAGAGAGTTTCATAAGTCTTCCCCAATCTTAATTTGATAATAAGAAGGAAGAAAGAAGATCAAATATTAATAAAACTCATAATAATTCATTATCTTTTGGGTACTTAGATTCATCCTGAGAAGCAGGAGAAGGAGACCTCCTATCCAGTGTGGTCAGATATCTCCTCCTTGATGTCGGAAGATGATGATGTGACCAAAGCTGCTTTTTATAAAATGTTCCACTGCCTAAACAGGGATTCAAGTAAAATTAAAACCTACCTCCAGATGCTGAAGTGCCGACACACCACATGCTAAGCCCACAACTATCCCAGCCAATCCTGAGATGGTTAGTGATGATCCATCCCGTTGCAAGCCTCTTTGAGTTTTATAGCTATTTAATGCATGTTTGGGTGTAATGGGTCTCATCTGAAGCAAAATAAACACAGACTCTGTAGAGATGTCAAAATCTAAGAAGGAAATGTGTCAATGTTTTTATCTTCATTTAATAGAAAATCAAAAGAAAATCCATCCCTACCTCTGAGAGAAAGAATTTCCTATTAAAATTTGTCACAAATAGCAGGAACTGACATGACAAAGACCATTAAAGAGCTTACTAAAGAACCACACAAAATTATGCTGGGTCAAGTTATAAGAAACAAAGAATTAGATAATTATTCATTGTGCTCGTCATGCTACCAAGAAGAATGAATTCTGAGAATTCTTTATGAAAGCAAGCCACAAAGTGTCAGCTGATTCTTACATTGTCACAGTGTTACAACAAACAATATAATTGCTTTGTACGTGGCTACCTAAATAGCATGAGGTTTACTAAACTGCCTAAAAATGCTGTCTTAGTCCTCCTGGGCTGCTGTGACAAAATATCATAGAATTATAAACAATAAAAACAGATTTTCACAGTGTGATCAGATAAGGCCTCTTTCCATCACACACTTCTTACTATATCCTCACATCAGAGAAAGGGCTAGAGAAATTCTGTGTGTCTCTTATATATAAAAGCAGTCATCTCATCCAGGAGGCTCCATCCTTCATCACCTCCACCTTCAACACCTTTATCACCTCAATAACTTCATCACCTCCCAAAGGCCCCACCTATGAAACACCTTCATCATGGGAGTCAGGATTTCAACATATGAAAATTCTGGGCAACACAAAGGTTGAGACCATAGCAGACACAAAGGTGAACGGGCTCCATCCTCCTCCACTGGCTGTCTTCACCCACACTCCACTGCAGCCTCATTTCCTGCATCATCTGGCAAAAATTCCATACATTCTATCACTCTGGGTTTAACATGTCTAGCTTAGTTAAGTGTCAATTGTCCCCTGCCTGGGGAGTCTAGACAATTGTCCAACTGGTCACATAAAAACCAAGTAGATCAGAAAGCTGGATTCATAAACACATTTATCTGAGAAGTGAGATACCATTCTCTCTTCCTTTTAGAGTAACTATCCTTGTCAGTAATTATTTGGCCTTACACACATGCCCTAGTAGATCCCCAAATTATAAAATCCTCCAAATAGACTGAGTCTCTACTGAGACTGGAGCAATGTGACTGGATTAGGGTTGCTCAGCTTGCTCAACAGCCTCCAGACAACCTGGTATGAGGGCCAATCTCTTGACTGCCTCTCCTAAGATTCAGTGATGTTGCTGGGCTGGTTTTGCAACATGATAGGGCTTTAGCAGTAATTCCTAGTAAACAGAAAATGGGAAATAAAAAGGTAGAAAGGAAAGGGGGATGAAGAAGAAAGAAGAAGAGAAAGACAGAAGGAAGGAAAAGCAGCAAAGGGAAAGTGAGTAAAAGACTTGGGTAGTGAAGGATGAAATGCTGTTAGAACACTTTATTTTTAAAGACCCAAATATTTATGCTTTTCTTTAAAGCAAATATCTCACAATCCTTTTTATTTCCATTTTCTCTTCTCTCCTCATTTTTCTGAAATTGCCCTTTATATTAGGAGTATTCTTTTGTTGCTACTAATTGCCACAGTTCTAGAGATGAACAAAGCTTGGCAACTCTTCAGGGCAGAATCCAGGCAACTTTTCTTCTGTTATGCAAAGACAACTTTCACCCACATACAGGAACACCGTCCAGCAAAACCAACCTCTTCCCTCATAGGCAGGGTTATTCTTGCCTGAGTCCTGCCCCTGCCTCTACCTGGGATGGCCCAAACCTTTCAGAACATGAAAGAATACTCTGCCCCAAACCAATCTATCAATCCCTCTTTTGGCTCCTTCATGCATATAAAGTGTCAGCTTTCTTGTATTTTCACTTTCTTTTTTCAAAAGGCAAAAGTCCATGAAAAAACACTGAATGCACTTTCTAAGTCATTTACTACCAAAAACATCTAATTCTACTGTGTTACTTGCTTAACTTTCTTTCATTCAATGTCTAGATATTTCAAGCAGAGAGGATGGTATTTATTAGAGGGGAAATTTGGCAATAAGGGGGATAATGCATTTGTAGGAAACATACACTCACCAATAGATCACACACACCTTCATGTATTTGTCTCTTATAAAATTTATTTCAAGCATAAATTTAGGGTTTTAGATCAATGACAGAGGCGGTGACATTGAGAGTGCTATCCTTGCTTGATAGTGACATATAAGCTGAATAATGTAGATTTCAGACAATATTGAACAGAGCCATAGACATTCTGTAGAGTCAGTCAGGGAAAGCCAAAGAAGGGATATCTGGACAGGATTTAACAATCACTCCCTTGCCATACAGAAATCATCAATTTTTCCCTCTTTTACAGGTTTCCATGTAAGATTACATTTGAAGAAATGGCCCTGCTATATCAAAAATAATGGCGGTGGTTACCGAATGGAAACAAACAAATGAAGAACCTTTGAAGTTCACTGACCTTATAGATTAGTAAGTCACATCTTGGATACAATGAGGATTTAAGCTGAGGTTTAAAAAAATATCTATTTTCCAGAAGTAGTCTCTCTAGTAGTGGAGAAGAGAGGGTGACATAAACACACAAATTACTATATTAAAATGGTTGAGTAAAGTAAGGATAAGAGGTGATGCCAACAAGGTGCTACAGTGGAATAAAGTACAGCTAGGAGCCGTCTGAGTGTGTCAAAGGAGTGACGCAACTGGGATGGCTTTATGATGGGGTTTAGAAAGGTTGATGGGATATTGATATGCAAAAATAGGAAGACAGTATATCTGTCAATTCATTTAGGATCATCTTATGAAGTAAGGATCTCTGACATCCTAGATCAAGGCAACTGAGATAATAATACATATAGCATTATAAGGTATCAGTGAATTATTCAGTCTGACAAAAACACAAGAAATGCTCATTTTTTAACAGACATGCTGTATCTCTCATGATTATGCTCCCATGATATATTGTACATATTATTGTAGGGTTAGAATGAAGAAATACTTGTATGGATTTTTTATGCATTAGGGAGAATCATTTATGCCAATTTGGAGAGTTTGTGTTTATTCTACAAAGCAACAGGAAATGAAGAAATTTTAGTGCAAGAGAACAGAATGTCCAGAATTAGAAAAGAGAAACTTTAACCTGGATTGAGGAGTTGTGACTGTTGGGGCTGATAGAGAAAAAGAAGCAGACCCAAAAGAGCTGGGAATATTATGACACTAAAAATCAAAGAGGGCTCTGCCAAGTGAAAAGAAGCAAAGGATGTGAGAGATAAAGGAAATGAAATAGACCTTGACCACACGCAAGGAATGAGACAGACATAAGAGTCAAAAAAGGCATCCAAGAATATGGGACTAGTTGAGTAAATAGATGACTGAAAAGTCAGAGAGAAGGGAGGAGATAAATTAAGGTTTTATCCAAAATCATCTGAGCTCTATTTTCCTGTATTTCTTTGACTTAGTACCAGAAATCATCAAAAAAAAAAAAAAAAGTTAAGTTTCTGCAGCAAATCATAGAAATAAGTACTTTAAGAGCCTCTGTTAGACCCTATCAAATACCTGTACCTAAGCAAAACTACCCAGTGATAACAAGCAGTAAATCACTAATCACTTTCAACACTTAAATAAGATAGACATTGTAAAGCATAGAGGATGAATGGAATTAAAATGAAAACAACCCATACCTTTACAGAGCCAGCCTAAACAAAACCTTAAATGTAAACAAATTAGAGGTTATGCTCTCCCTAATAATGTGTCCGCTTCCTCCAAGAATTTCTCATTCCTTTTGCCTTAATCCTCCCTTGTTTACTATCCCTTCATTCCCTTACTCTTAGAAGATGGTCAGCTAATCACTAATCAAATAAATAATTAAAAAGTGTTCACTCCCGAGATAATATTCATATTGATGGACTCTACAAACTGAAAAGCTTTCTAATCCCCTGAAAGTAAAACTCTCATACTGGAAGGACTCCTTCCCAGCCTCTTTCCAAAATGCCCACTGGGATGCAATTGAGACTCTAGCTATTTAGACGTCTTGTGTTCTAATTACAACCTATTTGGATAGTCAAGACAGGAGACAGATGAGGCCTTGAAAGATGTTGAGAAAGAAATGCATGGAAAAATTGAAAAGACAGCACAAACTTTAAATATCGATCTCTGCCTGCACACCATACCATATGTGATGGGAGTCAGGTGGGCCCAATCAGATTTTTCAAGAAAGCTCTATATGAACTGGCACTGAGAAGTTTTATTCAGCTCAACTGTTTCAACATGATTCTTTGATTCTAAGACTCAGAGCTACTTGTCTCATTTAACTGCACTAAGTCAAAAAGGGAATATATTTATTGCCTATTTTAACACTACTAAGAGATCTTAAAAGTTCTCATCACAAGAAGAAAATTGTAGCTATCTCTAGTGATGGATGTTCACCAGACTTATTGCAGTGATCATTTTTCAATATATTAGTGTAAGTGAAACTCACTCAGTCATGTCCCACTCTTTGCGACTCCTTTGACTGTAGCCTGCCAGTTTCCTCTGTTCTTGAAATTCTCCAGGCAAGAATACTGGAATGGGTTGCCATTTCCTTCTCCAGGGGATCTTGCTGACCCAGGGATTGAACCAGGGTCTCCTGCATTGCAACTGTACTCTTTACCATCTGAGCCACAAGGATGTATATATTGCAGTATATACACATATCAAATAATTATATTGTATGCCTGAAACCAAAATCACAATATATGTCAATATTATATATGTATAATTATACCTGAAACTAAAATAGCATTATATGTCAATGTTACATATGCATAATGACCATATAGTCATTATGTTTTATACATAACATTTA